AAAAAAAAAAAAAAAGCAAAAACAAAATAGATAAAAGAATTGCTGCCAGGGATCCCACTGCATGGCTGCGCAGACAGAGGAGTAGCTCCCATGCTGAGCTGTATTGCCCCCTAGAAGGGGCTCCCAAGCCAAGAAAAGAAAAACAAAACAAACAAACAAAACAAATCAAACAAACAAAAGCCCTGGGAATCCCACCAGCAAGGTGGCACGGGCCAGGAAGCAGTTCCACAGTCGAGCCACATTTCACAGCCTTTCAGGAAGAAGCAAAGATGGCACACAGAGCCAGGTATTTGAGAGAAAGGAGGAGGAGGTGGTGATAGGTATGGAAGAAACCAAAAGAAGCAGAAAAAAACACCTCTCATAACCAACAAATGGCGCTCAGTGAGTCGGCCAGTGTGGGCAGGTGGAATCCAAGAGGCACAGGGGTGAAGCCGGTGCTTCCCGGTCAAGAGACTGTGGCTGCAGGAAGCAAAGGAGGCTGAATGGGAGTAAAGAAGGGTAGGGGGTGAGAAAGCATATATTACTGGTTACTGGGAGCTCCGTGAAGCTGCTTTCCCATACTCTCCTTTTGCCAATCTCTGACAGGAGTCCAAGATGGCAGATCCATGCTGCGTTAGCTGATAGGGGACCTGTGCATATATCTGTCCCTGCTCTCTGTTTTCTGTCAGATTTTTATGCCATTTGGTGCTTGGCTGAGTTCTTTATCTCTTCATTTGATGTTTAGGGTTTTAGGGTTGATGTTTGTCTCTGTTTGACTTAGTTTTTCGGATCTTTGTTGTGGAGGGACGGCATGGTGCTTCTGTCTATAGTGCCATGTTGCCTGGAAGTGCCACGTCAAATATATTCTTGAGATAGTCTCCAAATTCAGGTGGGATATACTCAAGGTTGTATTTTGGCTCTTGTGGATTTGTTTTAATTTTTTCAGCTTCAACTTAAATTTACATATGAGGAACTGATAGTCTGTTCCCCACTCGGCCCCTGGCCTTTTACTGACTGATGATATTGAACTTTTCCATAGAACTTTCCATATCAACAGATGTAGTTGATTTGATTACTGTGTTTCCATCTGGTGAAATCCATGTGTATAGTCACTGTTTATGCTGTTGAAAAAGGTATTTGCAATGAAGAAGTCGTTGGTCTTGCCAAATTCTATCATATGGTCTCCAGAGTCTTTTCTGTCACCAAGACCATATTTTCCAATTACCAATTCTTCTTCTTTATTTCCAACTTTCGCATTCCAATCACCAGTAATTATCAATGCATACTGATTGCATGTTTGATCAATTGCAGACTGCAGAAGTTGGTAAAAATCTTCAATTTCCTCATATTTGGCACTAGTGGTTGGTGCGTGAATTTGAATAATAGTAGTATTAACTGGTCTTCCTTGTAGGTGTGTGGACATTATCCTATTACTGACAGTGTTGTACTTCAGGATAGATCTTGAAATTTTTTTTTGACGATGAATGCAATGCCATTCCTGTTCAAGTTGTTCCTGGCATAGTAGACCATATGATTCAAAATGGCCAATATCAGTCCATTTCAGCTCACTAATGCCTAGCATATTGATCTTTTTGTGTTCCATTTCATTTTTGCAGATTTCTAATTTTCCTAAATTCATACTTTGTACATTCCACATTCCAGTTATTAATGGATGTTTACTGCTCTTTCTTCCCATTTTGAGTCATACCACATTTGCAAATGAAGGTCCTGAAAGTTTGACTCCATCCACTTCTTTAAGGCCAACTCTACTTTGAGAAGGCACTTCTTCCCCAGTTGTATTTGGAGTGCCTTCCAACCTGAGGAGTTCATCTTCTGGCACTATATCAGATAATGTTCCACTGCTATCCTTAAGGTTTTCACTGGCCAGTTTTTTCAGAAGTAGACTTCCAGTTCCTTCTTCCTAGTCTGTCTTAGTTTGGAAGCTCCTCTGAAACAAGTTCACCAAGCGTGACCCTACTGGTATATGAATTATTGGTTGCAAAGCTTCTAGTATCACAGCAACACGAAAGCCACCACAGTGTGACTGACAGATGTGTGGTGTGGTGATAATTTAGGCTACACCTAGGTAAAGATTTTTTTTAAAGCTTTCTTCCACTTCAGGAGTTTATGAGATAAAATTAAATGGTGATACCTGGATTATAATAAAAATAATAGCCACTAAAAAATAATAGCTACTAATCTGCATTAGTAGATGCCAGGCTCAATGTTCTACCACACACACACACACACACCTGTTGCCGCCAAGTTGATTCCAACTCGTAAAAACACCATGGGACAGAAAATAACTGCCCCATAGAGTTTCCAAGGAGCAGCTGGTAAATTCGAACTGCTGACCTTTTGGTTAGCAGTTGAGCTCTTTACCTCTGTGCCTCCAGGGCTCCCAGGGTTCTACTGGTGTTATCTACTTTAATTTAATTCTGTGTGATATTATTGGCAAAATCCTCATTTTACAAATGAGATATCTGAGTTCAGATAGTTTATGTGACTTGCCCAAACAAGATCACACAGCTAATAAGTCATGGAGCCAGGATTAAATTTAGGCATAGATCTACATATCTATTGGATGGATGTCTTTGCTCTTGATTCTATGTTTTACTGTGTTTCACACATATAGTAACAATTCATTATGCAATGTTTTTGAAGTATATAATGCCTTCTAAGGATTTATATTTGTTTTAACATTTTATAATTCATATAATATAAATTAAATAATCATATGCAAGGAAAAATAAAAGAAAAAATACACCAGAAACTAATTTCATTTTAGGATGAATTAAAAACATAAATAATCTTTGACCTATTTCTCATTATCTAACAAATATTACAAACATAATTTTATATGAACTATTCAAAAGGAACAATTAATTTTTCCATAAATGATTTATTGACTTTTAAATAACACTGGAATTAGACCATCACTACATTGTATATCCTCAAGAACTGTAAGAGGTATTCTAAAAGAATGGTCTTACTACTGCTGTTACTTTATTTCAAAATAATAACTTCACTTTATATTTTAGTGGTATATGTTACTGTTCCAAAGTAACACATTGGCAGCAAGTAAGTGAAGAATATAAATAATGAGTGATGTAAGTTTTGTCAAGAGACAGACTGCAGCAAATATGTTTGATTCCAGCAATTATAAATTGAAAAAGTGGACTGTATGTGACTGTGACCTATTTATAAGTCCCATGTAATTCAGCAAATTTATCCACCATCTGTTATGTCAGGGACTGAATCTTTGTCTATCAGTGTTCTGCCGCTTTCTAGGAGGACTTAACCATTGAATTCAGGTAGCTAAAAAAAAAACAAAACCTTTAAAATCAGTATCTGATTCCAAGTCACAAGCTATGCTCTGCATAGATAGAAAAAGTGTGATCATAGATACACAATTTAGAAGTCATAGTAATATTAGTGTGAAAGGGCAGTTTTATCAGAAAGGATGACCTCAGTCTTGTAACTATCCTGGAGAATGAACTTAAGTGGGTAGGAAGTTGTGCTGTTGAAGGATCAGGCATTTATGGAGCCCATGCCCAGGGCAGTTTGCTGTATAAAGGCCACTTTCCCAGACTTATGTTAACTGGGAGGGTTAGAGTAATAAGGAACAGGGATACAGCAATTTAGAGGATTTCTTGTTATTTTAAAAATTCTTTTAAGATTTTAATTGGAGTGAATGAGTGAAAGATTATGTATGTACGTATTTATCCCCAGAGATTCTTAGCAGAGCCTGACGTGGAATATTTTAATACCACTGGGAAATCGTTAACATTGGCAAGGAAAAAGTCCCAAACAAATCAACCCTATGCACTATTAAAATTTTATGCAGTATTTGTGTAACATTTGTACAGGACTTCCATGCCACTGGCATAAAAAATGGAAGGCATTTAATGGAGTGAGGCAAATGTTTATTTTGTTTTCTTTGCTTGGTCAATGAAGACTTAATTTTATATTTTGCATAATTTTTTTTTTTTTTTTACTTTAAGATAATGTTGTTGATAGTCATGAAGAAAGGCATCTTCCATGTCCTCACTTTCCCTTTTATTATTTAATACCTTATTATAATGGTGTTATTGCACAAAGTCAGGTTTCTGGACATCTCTGTTTGGGTAGCGTTAATAAAAATTGAATTAAAAACTTTGGTTTATAGAAGTCATTAATTTTTACTAAGAGAACTGTATTCAGGTACTCAATGCAGCAAATAATTTAGACCAGCACTTTTCAAATTTTAATATGTATGGTTTTCCTGGGAACCTCATTAAATTGCAAATTCTAATTCAGTAGGTCTGGGGTGGGTGTGAGAGTCTGCATTTCTGAAAAGCTACCAGATTCTATTGGTCTATTTGTCCAAGAACCAAACTCTAAGTAGCAAGGATTTAGACCCTAGTCAATATGATAGACTCAATTTTTAAGTCCTCCAGTTTGAACTTTTGCACGATCCTTGCTTATTGTAATGATAGAAACGAAATTTGAGCCTAAATATATCTAATTTTATTAAATCTGTGGTGTAAATGTATTATGACTTGGATTTCTATATGTAAGAGGCACAGATATATTACAATGTAAATAGCTTGCTTTCCTTACATTGATAAAAACTGAACTGATTTACAATGTTAATCATTTATAATATAATGTATTTTATATACTTCAGAATCTTAATTTAACAGAAACTCTGAAGAATAAGCCAAAAATATGAATATGTGAAATGTGAATCAATTAATGTTGAAGAGTTATTTTGAATACAATCTGAGGAACCATATTCTTCTTTTTTAATCTAGGAAATAGCATCAAGATTTGTAATGAATCAGCTAGCAGAAAATAATCCTTTACTAATGCAAGCCATAGAATGCTACCCACAGATCAGGAATATAATCTCTCGTGGAAAAGAATGTGCAATATGTGGAAAGTCCTTTCTAACCACGTGTCTGGAATGTGTTGAGTTTGTTCCTCCATCGAAGGTAAATGTTGCTTTTTGCGTGAATCTGAGCATAAGACCTCCTCCTATCCTTTGTCTTTATCTAAGTCAACCAATCTTAACTAGATTGGTATCCAAGAATTGACTTCTATGATAGTATGACGTTAAGTTTGGATAGATAAATTTGGATAAGTGTCTGTAATGATCATCATCATCCACACCATTTACATTTGTTAGAACACGTACATTGTAGCAAAATTCCATGGAAATTGAAATTTTTAAATTAGAAAATCGAATTTTTTATCAACCTTAATAATCAAATGAGAGCTATGTTCCACTAGGGAGAATGGTTCAGTAGTCTGATGTGAAACTTTTGCTGTCATAATGATGCTCTAGCACACTGAGTGTGCACTGAGGTGCACCTACAACATTATGTCTCCCAGGAGTTTTGCACCCCTGGGCAGTTCACATAGCTCATGAAGCCCGTTCTAAACCAGGGGTCAAAAAACTTTTCCTGTAAAGAGGCGGATAGTAAATAGTTTAGGCTTTGTGGATGATAGGAGGCCCTGGCTGGTGCAAATGGTTAAGCGCTTGACTACTAACTGAAAGGTTGGTGGTTCAAACCCATCCAGAGGCACCTTGAAAGAAAGTCCTGGTGATCTGCTTCTGAAAGTTCACAGCCTTGAACACCCTATGGAGCACAGTTCTACTTTGCAACACATGGGGTCACTATGAGTTGGAATCGACCTGAATCCACAACAACTGTTTATTTGACTTTGTGGACCATAAGGTCGCTGTTGCAACTGCTCGACTTTACTTTTGTCACCTGAAAGTGGCCCTAGACAATAGGTAAATGAATGAGCGTGACTCGGTTTCTGAAAAAATGTATTTATGGACTCTGGGATTTGAATTTCAGATAATATTCACATGTCATGAAATATTTTTATTTTGAGTTTTTTTCAACCATTTAAAAATGTAAATATCATTCCTAGCTCACAAGTCATATGAAACCAGGCAGCGATTTGCCTACTTCTGTTCTAGACCATTCAACATTACTTCCTGACACCAGAACTTCCTTTCTCCTCTTGGTGAGCACTTAGCCTCTTTTGGGTCAGAAGTGTCTGGTCCACACATGAGCCACCCACTGAAGTGATACCTGCTGCATACAGATCCCTTGCTTCCATGACTCTGGGAATGAAACCTACTGGTCTGCAATATCATAGTTTCCCTGATAACTCTTTTCGGGACTTCGAACAGGTTCATTCTGGCTTGAGCTGAGAAATTTACATTTCTCAGCAGGAATTCGAGCCGGAATGAACTTGTTCAAAGTCCTGATTCTTTGGCATCAAGCTGTGGGTCAGTAGAGCATTTTCATTTTCTTCTTGGTCAATGCCATGTATATGTTGTTTTCTTAAAATGAAGAGGACTAACAATACACTGTGCTTTTTTTTTAATAGGTGAAGGTTTACAGAACACATATTTTCTCATTAAACAGTATGCATATTGTTTTATGACATTGGTCAACAACCCCACGACATGTCAACACACTCCCTTCTCGGCCTTGGAGGACCATTTTTTTTTTTTTGGTGAAAATATACGTAGCCAAAGACACACCATTTCAAAAATTTCTACATGTACAATTCAGTTATTTCACTTCAGTTATGTTCTTCCACTTGTGCTGCTATTCTCACTTTAGATGAAGGTTTACAGAACAAAATAGTTTCTCATTAAACAGTTAGTATACATATTGCCTTATGACAATGGTCAACAACCCCACTACATGCCAACACTGTCCTTACTCAACCTTGGGTTCCTTATCACCAGCTTTCCTGTCCCCTTCTGCCTTCTAGTTCTTGTCCCTGGACTGCTGTGCCTCATTTGTCCCATTTTGTTTTGTGGTGCTGTCCAATCCCCAGCTGAATGGTCAACCTCGGGAGTGACTTCACCACTGAGCTAAAAGGGTGTCTGGAGGCCATACTCTCGGGGTTTCTCCAGTCTCCTTTAGGCCAGTAAATCTGGTCTTTCTTTTTTGTGAGATAAAATTTTGTTCTACATCCTTCTCCAGCTCTGTCCAGAACCCTCTGTTGTGATCCTGGTCAGAGCAGTCAGTGGTGGTAACCGGGCACCATCTAGCTGTACTGGACTCAGTCTGGTGGAGGCCTTGGTAGCTGTGGTTCATTAGTCCTTTGAACTAATCTTTTTCTTGTATCCTGTTCCCTTCATCCCCCCTTGCTCCTGAAGGGGAGAGACCAGTGGAGTATCTTAGATGGTTGCTCACAGGCTTTTAAGACCCCAGACGCTACTCACCAAGTTAGAATGTAGAACAATGTCTTTATAAACTGTGTTATGCCAATTGAGCTAGATGTTCCCCAAAACCATGATCCCCACAGCCCTCTGCCCAGCAATTCAGTCCCTCAGGGAGTTTGGATATGTCTATGGAGTTTGTACAAGTTGTGCTGGCTTCCCCAGTCACTGTGCTGTTTTAGGATAGACTCCTATCCAGTTTGGTAGATATGCTGGAGAATCTAGGATTTAGTGCCAGGGGTGAGTGTGTGTGTTACAAATTTTGGTAGGGAGCTGGATCTATAACCTCTAAAGCCATTTGCATCTCTAGAGAGTCTCTGATTCTAACTTCTGTAGTTACAGTGATTTCAGGTGTCTTTAGACCAGAGTAGTCTTGTGCTGCTAAGGGACCTGAGTCAAGAGTCTGCTTACACCTATCTCATTGGCTGCTCACCAAATTTACCTATGGAGCTTTAAAAAAATAAAGATAACTCACACCAGACCTACTAAGTCAGAATCCATGGGAGTAGGGCCCTGGGTATGCAAAATTTATAAAGTTCCCAGTTGTCTTTCATATGCAGTCAAGACTGGGAATCTCCACCCTACCTGTTAAGGGCTGTCCCAGCACCACAGGTCAATGGCTGTGTCTTACTCACCTTAGTAAGCAAGGCCTAGTTTGGTGACTTCCACATAGCAAAAAGTAAGAATCATTGCTTGAATATATGAATTAATAATTTGTCTTTAGTGATAAGAATGGATTTCCTTTATAATGAGATACAAACCAAAAAAACCCTCTTGCTGTTGAGTCAATTCCAACTCATAGTGACCCTATGGGACACAGTAGAACTGCCCTATAGGGTCTCCGAGGAGAGGCTGGTGGATTTGAACTGCTAACCTTTTGGTTACCAGCTAAGCTCTTAACCACATATGGATAATAGTAAAGAAAAAAAAAAAAAAAAAAAAAGGGAGGGGAGGGGATAAATCACTGTGAAGTACTACTGGCAAACACTTTAATGTGGCTGCCACCCTGGAACCTGAGTGAGTCCTTTAAATGGCTGCTTTAGGGCACATTGTCCAGTTCGCTCTCCGTCAGTCTGCTTCTTGGAACCTGTATGCGGAAAGGCTTTGAATTTATCCTGCTTGAAGCGGAACAAAGACTCCTGAACACAAGAAGGCTGTGTTCCTCATTATCTGTGGAGCCATGACTAGGCCTCTCACAGTCTTTGCTTCCCCAAGGACAGTTGATGACCTTATGTGATTGCTGATAACATATTAGTTGTTGTTTCAAAGGTTTATATTTCATAAATTTCTTCAACAGCTGGATGAGATCAGCACTACTTATATTTCAGAGCTACATTATCTTTCTCAAACTACAGTTGTGGGAGTTTCTTCCTATATGTGGATTTCATGACCAAGTCCAGTATGAACCACTTTTTCCACCAACTTTTTATTTTGAAAAAATTGAAAACAACAAGAAACTGGAAAAATAGTACAATGAACATATGAATACCCTTTATCTATAGTCACCAAATTTTAATATTTTGTTCAGCTGACATTATCTCTTATTATTTTTTGCTTTTATGGGTATGTTTTCTCCAAAACAAATGTGATATTTACATGAACCAAGAAAATGGACTAACTAGAGAGATTCTATCACTTTCTAAGGCAAAAATAAAAGAGTAGTTTCTAATTACAAAAAATATAAATAAAGTAAAAATATGTCCTTGATACCAGGTAGAAAGTTTTTGTCAAGAGTATCAACAGATGACACAATACTTATGGCTCAGAAAATATGTAAGCTATTTTAGATATGGTGGCACAGTGGTTAAGCACTCAGCTGCTAACCGAAAGGTTGGTGGTTTGAACCCACCCAGCGGCTCTGTGGGAGAAAGACTTGGCAATCTGCTTCTGTAAAGATCATAGCCAAGAAAACCCTATGGGGCAGTTCTACTCTGTCACATGTGGTCTCTATGAGTTGGAATTGACTGGACGGAACCCAACGACAACAACAACCTATACTTAGACTCTGGAGGGTTTCACTAATGCTCTGTTTATAACTTCTAGGAAACAGAGTGCAGTTTTGATAAGAGCCATTTAGAATAAGTGATTTATAATCACGTAAAATGAAACCAGGGAACTACTACTGGAGTTCATATTACCTGGTGTCAGTTGTTTACACAAGAGTATTTACTGTCCAGAAGCGTATGAAAATCCCCAGAGCAAGTAATGAGTAAAAGATATGTTAGTTATGGTTGTGATATAGAGCCACTAATTGTTTTCTCACAATGTCCTTTGCCAAAGTTTTTGAGACCACCAAATATTTTTAATTGTTATTTATGACGACCTAGCTGATGTCACTTCTTCATGGATAAACTTTCACTCCTCACAAAGGAATGGTGATAAAATAATTAAGAAAGAATATGGCTGCCACCCCTGACGTGAATTATTTCCAAGAGATTCGCACCATCACCATAATCTAGCTGTAGATGGTTGGCATGAGATTTGCAAAATATTTTTTGAGGAATTGGGAGCCTAAAGGATAAACTAAACATTTTTTTTTGTTGATCCAGTCATGTAAAAATTATAGTTGTACTAGATATGTCTTCTTTGTGCTTATAAAGAACAATTTTTTATAAAAAAATATCTAATCAGAGAAAGCATCCTGAAACAGGATACATGTGTATGGTGGGCTCCAGTATATGGGCTGCATGTAAAAGTTGTCTATGAATAAGCAGCATTGTTCACTCTTTCAATACCTTG